CAGTTTAACGTTTGTTCTATTCAGCTTTAGCACCCACAGGTCAAACAATGATGTAATTTGAAACAGTAAGCCTAGTATTAAATATGTTTACTATTCTATATACTTTTAGAGCAAACACTCTGAAGTCAGCTATTTTTTCTCTGTAAATGACTAGATTTGCTTTGCTCAATAATTCTTTGTTTGTGTTTACATGCACGTCTGAATTAACAAATGTAGGCCGATGCTGTCTCAGTGACTGACTGAAATCAGATTCTGATAATGCCTTGACAGATTCTGTTGTACATTTGTTAAATCAAAACTCATGATGTCTCCAAAAACACACACACATTATTTGTTGGAGAGTGAGATCCAAGTAAAACTCTCACATCTTCCATTATAAATTCATGTAGTCGATTATTGTTTGATGTACTTGGTGGATGAGTTTTTAAAATATGAAATTATTAAACTCTCTTTTGACAGCTCAGGGGTCTTGGAAGTCTTCATCTTTCAATACATATTAATATGCACAAAGTACATATTTAACCATATTCATTAGGTCGTTCTCACTAGGTTTCTTTTACAGAAGGTCTCATAAATATTTAAATGCCTTTGACAACGTCTGTTCCAAACCAGCTGTCAGTCATTATTTGTAAGGTTTAAAGTACCTTATATGATCTGTCTGGTGTTTGGAGGGGCTTTATATGGTAGATGCAGCAGAACATTAAATGAACAATTATTCTATCAATTATTGATGTATGTCAGTTAAAAAGAAACATGCATCTATTTATGCATGGCTCTCTAAACATATTCTTGAATATCTAAAAAAATAATAGCTTTTAATGTTCTATATATTTTGTTGAATGTACTGTATGTAGGTAGTAGGTTTTTTTTTCCAGCAAAAATACATTCAATTGATCAAAATAATAGTAATGACTTTTTATTTTGTTCAAAAATAATTTTTTTTAAATAAATGCTGTTGAACTTTTTATTCATTCACGAATCCTGAAAAAAATAATTATGGTTTCCACAAAAATATTAAGCAACACAAAGTTTTCAACATTAATAACAATAAGAAATGAATGAATAATAATAAGAAATTTCTTGAGCAGTAAATCATCATATTAGACTGGTTTCTGAAGGATCATGTGACACTGAAGACTGATGATGAAAATTCAGTTTTAATCAAAGAAATAAATTACATTTTAAAATATATTCAAATATTTGTAATAATATTTCACAATATTACTGTTTTATTTTACTGTTTCATCAAATAAATGCAGCCATGTTGAGCATAAGACACCTTTCAAAAACAGAAGAAAAAAAATCTTACGGACCACAAACTTTTGAATGTGTGTGCATGTTACATTTATTTGTTTCAAGCATTTTACATCATCCAAGACTATTTCTCAGCAACTGTAAACATCTCACTTATCTAGTAGTTTGAATTCAATCATTCCCAACTGAAAGTTCCTCAGCAATGTCTTTTAATGTCTTTTTGATTTACAAGTGGCACAGATTTTCTCTGCTCTCCTTGCTGATGCTAGATTTCCTTAGTGAAATGCATGTTTGATTTGCATGTGCTGGCTGAATTTGCTTTGGAAATGACCTAGCACTGGTTGGCTTGTTATCTGCCACACAGTGTCAGTTGCTATAATGTTGATGAAGTCGCCAGCTTTGTTCCACCAGAGCTTCAGCTTTGATTCAGCAGTTTGTAAAAAAGTCTGTTATTTGTCACTGCTGTTTTCTTTCTGTCCGCACCTTATGATAGACAGATGATTAGAGAGTGAAACATACACTGTGAGCTATTAAAATAAGCAGATATTTAAAACGTGAAAATATAGGACAATAAGTCTTCATATATGATATAGCCGAAGAGCAATTTCACTTTGTGTATTGTTTACTGTATATTTTAAATGTATTTCTAAAACCATTATGTATATTATTATTACTCTTTACTCTTAACTATTTCTTCGTTTTGTGTGTTTTTTTTATTCTCACTTTGGTCAGGAAGTGTTAAAACTGTTGGAACGATTGTAGCCGTGAGCATGTCCATACCTGTTTGAGATGGTGCGTCATGTGTGCCTACGTTTGTGACGCTGGAAAAACTACTAGGTAAAACTCACCACCATAAGAAGCTGCTGCTGGCGATGTAATTATGAGATGGTTAAACATTGGCTAGCCTCATTTTACACATTATCGGATTCGTCACGAGTCACATCAACATGAGGAAGCATATCTTGTGTAGCCGGAAAGTTTTGTATGCTGTAACATGTTGGGACATATGCTGTGCTGAGCAGTTTTTAATCTTTTGTCAAGTTTTTGCTGGGGCCGAAAGAAGCGGAAAAATGGTTAAGGAATAAATACATAAAGGTGAGACCAAACAAAAGGAGCCTGTGTATACATTGATTTCAGTCTGGTCACCAACCATCACCAACAGCTCAAGTAGTCAGTTTCTTTTCTCTTTGTTCTTTCATTCTCTTGTGTGAATGTTTTTAATTATGTATTGGGATAATAGTTTTAAGTTAAAAGGGTTCAGAGGAGCTTAAGCTCTTTGTCCCTACGGGGCTGTTTTACTGTCGTGATGATGATATCTAAATGGGCTGCTGTCTGCCTCATTCTCTCTCCGTCTTTTGTGTCATTATCTTACCATGATGGTGATTTCCCTCATGCTTGAGAAATGTGGAAAATTGGTCCTTCTAGTGTAGTAGTCCCTGGGTGTACATCACTGGCTGGAGGTTTGGGTTTTATACCCTGCTGTCAACTGTTTGCAGGTGCTGAGTCTGGGCAAATGATGATAGGATTTAGGCTCATAGCGCTCCCTGATTCACTGACCTTCTCCTATGTAATGTAAAAACTGCCTCTCTGCTAGATATATTTGATTCACAGCAGGTACTACACAGTCTGTCTTCTTGCTTCTAGCTCGCTCTTTACAGTATGTATGGCTCAACGTTGTTTTTGCTTTAACTGCCCCTTTCTTTTTCTTCTTACTCCTTAGTTCTTCTCTCTCATATTCCTTTTATTTTACCTCCCCTTCATTGGCCCAGGGTATAAAATAGATTCTTTCTTCTAGTTTTGTTGTTGATTGTGTGTGTGTGTGTGTAGGAGGTAGGAGGGATGCTTTTGATTACATTCATTATGTCCTTATTTATTAAGGCTGTCCTGTCATTCAAAATGTACTTTACACTACTGGGGCCAGTACAGTTTTCCAGTAGAGATTGATCATTTTGTTCGGTAAGCATCTACTACTGTAAATTGATTAAATGTTACAAAAGATAGCAAAAGAAAATTCTGGGGGGTAAAAAATTTTATATATATATAATTGTGTGTGTGTGTGTGTGTGTGTGTGTGTGTGTGTGTGTGTGTGTGTGTATATACTGTATCTAAATCACTAAATGACATTATCTTATAATGATTTTTGAAGGATCATGTGACACTGAAGATGAGAGTAATGGCTGGTAATTACATTTTATAACATATTAATTAAAAAAGAAAACAATTATTTTAAATAATAATCATATTTCACAATATTATTGTTATTCTGTATTTTTGATCTAATAAATACAGCCTTGTTGAGCAGCATAAGTGACTTATTTCCAAAACACAAAAAATATATAATTGACCCCAAACCTTTGAATGGTAATGCATACCCTATTACTTTATTTAGTTACTTTATTATTTTGAAAATGTATGTAAGTGCTCCCCAGATCAGTGCAGAAAATCCAAAAAGGTTTACAGATTATATCTTGGCCCACCAATTAGTTTTGCTTAAAGAAAGATAGAGAAAAACATGTTTGGTTGAGGCTGTTCTCATTAAATCACCTCTTCTGGTTCATTTCTTCACAGAAAGTAATCACTTCAAATGAGCACTAGATGACAACTAATTCCCTTAGTGTAAGACACTGAAGTGTTTCACAATGTGATATTGCTCTTGAGAATAATCTGTCTCACCATTGGCATTCAAGTTCTTTAAAATAAACATATAGTACACTATACATTTTTCAGTAGTTCCTCAGTACTTTCCCTGAAGCGATATAATCATCATGCTGATTTTATGATGTCTCTTTTGATTGCAGTGGTAGGTCATACTATACACACACTATATCTACTTTCAGTTTCCACCCTTTATGTGACTTTTCTGTCCTATGAATACAGAACAGCTAGAAGTTCATGATTGTTTTTGTTAGGTTTGTTAGAAATGGAAAAACAACATTTATGCATTAATCATATTATCTTGTGCTTGTAACTGACAAATGTAAAATTTCTAAAGCATTACTTACAGTGTACTTACCTAGAAAGTACTGGCTAATATAAGGTAAGTACATGGAACAGGGGTAGGTTTAGGGGTAGGTTCAGGGTTAGTACTAGTTATTACAGAGTAATTGTAGTTACTAAAATAAGTTCATAGTATTTACATGGGTAACTGGACTGTAAAAGGAAGCGTTACCTATATTTTCACTCATAGTTGTGTGATCAGACAGAAAGAAAGATGTTTATCTACAGAATGTGCCATCCTGTAAAAGCAGGTTTAGAAGTGGATGTTTTTATTTACTGTACAGGTTGTTTTTGTACTACTTTCTTTTAGTTGCAGATGTGCTGTTGAAGACTGTAGGCAGTACTTTTGCATGGGGAAGGGTGTCTTTACATCCTTTCACTTAAGCTCAAGTCATCGGACCTTTTCAAAGCCCGGATTTTGCCAGTTAGATCATAACTTGGTCTTCAGGCAAAGGAGCACTTTTACAGAATGATTGGAGGTTGATAGGTTCATCTGACAACTCAATATAGGCTAATATAAACAAAGACCTCAGTTTCCCTTCATACTGCCTTCTGCGTCCTAATAAGATTCTGCCATCTGGTGGTCAAATGAACTTTGTGTCTCTAAATGTCTGTTTTTATAGCAGAAGTCTTTTGGCAATTTCAGTAACAAATGTCTTGTATACTTTTATAATGTCTTGTAATTTTAACAGCAGGTGTGTCTGGTTCCTCCAATCCACCCTAACATTTCTTTGTGTACACGTGTTTAGACTCAAACGGCCAGCCATACTGTATCCAGTGCAAGCCGGAGTACCAGGGTCCCAACTGTGAGCAGTGTAGTGATGGCTTCTACAATGCAGACAGCATCTGCCTTCCCTGTAACTGCAGCGGGAACGAAGACCCCCGCTTGTCCCTTCGGATCTGTCACCCGGACACGGGCCACTGCCTGAGCTGCATCAACAACACAACGGGCCCGCACTGCGAGCGCTGTGCAGAAGGCTTCACGGAAGACGCGCTCACCAGGAACTGCACTCGTACAGGTGAGAGTCAAAGACTAATCATTTGGGCTAATATGCGTAAAACTCCAGTGATAATAATGGATAAATTTTTGCTACAGGAAGGGATATTAGGGCTGTTCCGAATCGGTCATTGATTGATATATCGCAGGTTTCTTTTCTTTTTTTGTTGGCAAAATTTCAGCTGTACTTAAAATTATTTTTATTCTTTTCATATCATTTTCCACTATTCAATTAAAGATGAAGCTGTAACTTTAAAACCATCATTTGTCAGTGCAATAGTTAGAGCCAGTTCTTCGTGACTATGTAATGAAGATAAGTGAAGTGAACCCCAGTTGAGAGAGTTTGAAACTGACTCTCTCTCTCTCTGTCACACTTTTCGGTGCGGTTTCTGTTGTAAACCGTATTGCAGTGTATTGAATATATCATGCATCATGAAGACCTTGATGTTAACCAGCTTTACAGTATATATTGTGAACTGGAATGTAACTGAACTTGAGATATTAATATTTTTATCACCTATTTCAAGGGTTGATTGAAAAGAGCTTGCATGTTAAGTGGTTTTCAGAGAGGGGAAAAGATGTGTTGTAGAATGACTAATCCCAGATCAGCGTTCTGACTCGCAACATCCGTCTGTGCGCACCTGATCCTATCAGTGGTGTACTGTAAAGAGGACAGACAGATCATACATTCCCATAGGCAGCCTGACTCGGGCTGCCAAACAGTAAACAAGGACAGCAGGGTGGATATATGAAAGAGAGAGGATGAAGAAAATAGTGATTCATCACTTCAGTAAGTCAGCCAAATCCACACTCTCTTTTAGTCCATCTTTCCACTCAGCCAAAAATAATAAATCCTCCTTCCCTGGCCTGTCTGAGCTCCTTATCCAGATGTTCTGCATACAGAACAACCATGTTGCCATTCACTGCTGATAACGGTACTGTATGTGGAAATGTTGACTTTCAAACTACAGTTGAAAAATCTTTGAAATGGCATCTCCCATAATGGCACTGTTGTTATTGTTAACTAAATGAAAACTTTCCAGTTTTGGTGATTTAATATTATATGAAAAACGAATTTAAAAAATCTTACCTTGGTAACTAACTGAAGTAGTTGAAGTACTAAAATAACTAAAACTAATTAAAGCTACATCGAAATATATAAAATAAATTAAAAATAATCACAAAAATACAAGATTACGGAAACAAACTAAAATTAAAGCTCCAGTCCGTAACTTTTTTGGGTTAAAATTATCCAAAATCAATTTTTGAGCAAGTACATAACGTGCCAGTGTTCAAAACTATCTGCTTCCCTTAGCTTGATTCAAAGCGGTAATCTTGTAATAGTGTTTTTAATTCCAGTGGTACTGGTGGATTTCTGTGGGAAAATCGAGCATGTCTTTGCGTCATTACGTCACATCTATACACATAAAGAAGGTCTCGGCTAGTATAAGTTATATTGCGTGTGAGGATGTTTGAGGTGAAGATTTATAGCCTTTTCTCACTGCACTTGATATAATTAAACTTATCAATTTGATGGTGGGTCCAGAAAGGTTCAAACGACAATCACCAGTGACAACTGGAGATTCACCCGCTGTGAAATGCAAAAGACTTTAGACTGAGAGTTTGGAAAAAGAGACTGCAACCAGACCCATGCTGTAAACAAAGATAAATATCTTAAGGGCTTTAAATGTAGTCACACAATGCTGACGTTGTTAACATTAACAATTTAAGAACAAAGTATTATTTGGACGGTTTGACGTGATATGATAAACGATTGTTATATTTAATCAGTGTGATTTATGCCAATGCTTTTTTCAGTAATGGAACAAAAGAGGATGAGAACAAAAGTGGATGTTACTTACTTGTTCAGATGAAATCTTAGGGTGAAATGTCTTATGTTTGTCATACGTCCAAAAAGTAGAATCTATGATTGCGAATGCCAGTATTCACACCGGCGTGGCGACCGACAGCTACACATTCTCTTCAAAACACTGGATTTATCCGTGCTGTGCGGATGTCAAGACAAAACTCACATAAAGTTGATAATTCCACAAATGACTGCAATTGCAGATTTTGAACAGAGATGGCGACAAAGAGGAAAAACTGCAGACTGCAGCTTTAAAATGAAAAAAAAACTTAAGTGTACAAATTAAAAAAGCAAATTCAAAATATTAATAAATACTATAATAGTACATAAATAGTAAAACTAACATGTTTTCTGAGGAGAATGGCTGAAGTATGTTTTCAGTCTTCATGTACACGGCATGCAGTCTGGCATTGTTCTGCTGAACAGATGGAATCGCTCTTGCCTGTGAATCTTCTTCCAGTGTGCTGCATCTGTTCTCTACATTACACTAGATCAGGGCTCCACATGGGACTGTCTTGCTGCTCTCACCCTCCTTTATTCCCATCCTCTTAATTTCTTTCTTCACTTCCTTTATTTTCTTTTTTTTTGTTGTTTTCTTAATCTTTCATTTATGACATATATTGCAATTTTTTAAGTGTTCACTGGCAGTGATGTTAACTTTTAGTGTGGAAAGTCTGAAAATAATGTTTTTGGTAGCTGTTTAAAAAAAATGCACAAGTGAAAGATGGAAAAATTTAACGGTAATGTCTCAAATGTTTATCAAAACACTTGTAGATGTAGAATTAAGTAGTGTAAATATATATATATATATATATATATATATATATATATATATATATATAGAGTTACAAGCTTTTTTTATGTAATGACTTGTTTAACATACATGTAAAAAGAATTGGGGAAAATTAATGATTAATTTATTTTAATTAGAATACAATTATAATAATATTATATAATTATTAATATTTTTGTGGAAGCTCAAATGTGCATGAACTTCCATGTTTACCAAATGTTATGTGCCTTATGTAGGATCATGGCAAGTCATGATCATATAAAGCGATCATATCTCTTCACAAGATTTGGATTAAAATGCTCAATTCATATAGATTTAAAAAAAAAATAAAAAATTACTTTATGACCTTTTTGTATACTTGAATTTTTTAAAGTCTTTTTTTTAATGACAGAATTACATTTTTTGGATGATATCTGTAAATGATATCCATAAATCTGTACAAAAGTAAATTTTCTTCATTTCGAGATGAAAGTAAGGATAACTTGCAGTTCAGTGAGTGAGTCAGAAGTTCAGTAATGAGTCATTAAAAGAAATGTGAGAGACATTTATTTGTGAATAAGACGATACTGGAAAACATTCTTTTTGTTCTTTTTTGTAGCCCACGAAGACTTGTTTGATGTGTTTTCTTGCCTTTATTTTACAGTACACCACCTTCTTATCTAATTACATTCAATACAAGGCTGCAAAATCAGATTCACAACTTCTAATTAGTGGTGCAGGAAACACTGCTCTGTCCGCCACACCACCAGAAAGTCACTGGAGTATAAATAATTCACTTTTGTGTTTTGGATATGTAGTATTACATTAGATGCATATTTTCTCAAACTGTCCTTCTCTTTCTTTTGCCTTGTCCATAGTCATCCACACTACTCCTTCAACCACTACACACTGGTTTCACTACACCACCATGACCTCCAGCCCCAATGCTACTGCACAATTCACCACCTCCTCCAGCAGCCTGCTGAGCAGCCTGGGTAGCTCCACCCCCAACACCACCACCACCACCACCACCACCACCACCACAGTGACTCCACTCCCATGGAACCAGTTCAACATCATCATCCTGGCCGTCATTATCATAGTTGTTCTAGCTCTCCTGGCGGTGGTGGGTGGCGTGTACACTTACAGGGAATACCAGAACCGCAAGCTGAACGCCCCATTCTGGACCATCGAGCTGAAGGAGGACAACATTAGCTTCACCAGCTATCACGACAGCATTCCGAATGCAGATGTATCAGGGCTTTTAGAGGATGAAGTTAGTGACGTGGGCAACGGACAGCTTGCTTTAACTGGTCCTGGTAGTTTGTATAAGGTGTAACAGATCTTACTGTTTTTACGCAGAAACTGGACTGCTAAACCAGCGCTGGATTGACACTGGCCAGGTTGTGGACCTATGGATATGTGGACCCCCAAATTATACAGTATATATAATTAATTTTATGAAATGATATTTTTTTTTCTCATCTGACAGTGCAAACACTCACATAAGCACTCCAAAGCTAGAAGAGCCATTAGTGAATAAAGAACATACATGAGCAGCAGTACATCTGACTGAAAAGTCAAGTTAAACATCCTACCTTGTTGAGGACCTTGGCCCAACTCAGAGGTGAAATATGTTGTCTGGCTTTGAAGAAAGTGGAGAGATGCAGAGACTAATTCGCTAACAGAATACTTGACACTGAAGCACGTCTGGTTCGATCAATCAAATGACATAGTCAATCATAATCAATCATTTACATAGTCCGTTCCCTCGTTTCCTTTGTACATGCTGTGGATATTTTAAATACACAGAGAAGACATTAGTTTTCAACAAACTCAGGATGGATATAATTTGTGTTGTGTGTAAACCACACCATTTAAGTGTTGCTTAAAGGATACCATACATGTGCATGACGTTAGGGGGCGCCATTACACTGGACCTGACATGCAGGCCTGGCTTGTGTATGATCCAATGGAAATACAGAATACTGAATGGCAGATGCTGAATGACTTTTGTATTCATGTGCAATTATGCAGATGCTTTCTTGCCGAAGCGAAATACGAGAAAGGATTAGTTGTTTTTATCAGGCCAAAGAGGATCTGTGTGTGCCAGTCTCAGGCAGAGAGAGTCTGGCTAATTCTCATCACAGTTTAACAACGACAAAGAGGATTTAAAGGACTGTTTCACAATGTGGATTTTTACTTGTTTTATTTATTTTCAGCAATTTCTCTGCAATACACTTTTCCCTTGTGACTTATCATCAGCCACCTGTTGAAAGGTGCCACTTGACACATCAATATGTCTGGTTGGGAGAGTTTAACAGTTTTATTTAATTTATTTGGACGAACCTCTCTCTCTGATTGATGGCTTAGGGTCAGTTTGTGTGTCACAGAGGAGGAGAACAAATATGATCAGATGAGCAATAATGGCTGTTGTGTCTTACTGGACAGTAAGCAATCGCTGCCATTTTAGTAGCTTAGGCTTAAACAAGTTGATCCAATGGTTCAGTGAATGAGTAAGTGCACGTGTTTGCGTGTGTTGGTGTATGTGTAAGGGCTGAGTGTGAAGTTAGTGTCAGTCAGCAAAGACATATGAAAAGGTGTGTATGCACAAGGACGTTCTCTGTAGGAGATGGCCCGAACTTGAAGAAAAGAGCAATAGTTCATCTGTCTGCATCTCAAATGACTCTTGGGATATCGTCTTTTACCCCTGGACCCCCACTTCCACAGTCCTGAAGCTGTCTTTTCTCGAGATGCATTGGTTCAAGACTATGTAAATATTAGATGTACGGAATGGTTGTCTTGAGGAGGCTGCTATCGTAGTGGTACTGTGGCAACAACTTTTGTTTCTGTGTCTAGCATACTTGTGCGCGCACATAGGGACTAACGTCTTAACGGTGTCTTAATCTTACATTGTATGCATTGTGCAGTATGCATGGTGCACCACATTCACAACTAGCTCTGTGAAAGATTTCAATAAAAGTAAGTTTTACTATAATTTGTCCTTTCATTATTATTATTAATGTATTATTATTATTATATCGTTGTATGTCATGCACTAGTTCCAGCCCCTGAACCGCACCAGTCTGTTTCCCGAATGGCTGATTCGTTCTGAGCACAAAAAGCACTTGTGAAATTCATGAGCTTTAACTTAATAAATAAAAAAAATCTTGAATTTACTGGACTTGTGGATAAATGAATGAAACCCTGGATTCAGTCAATTTTGTCAGGGCAGTGCTATCAAATCTTTGAAAGATGTTCAGTGGTGTTTGAGGAACTGTAAATCTATTTTATGTTTAATGCTTAACACGTTTTATGTTTATTTGTTAAAATGGGAATTTGACACAGTAAGACATTTAAATGTGTACAGTAAAAAAAAATATTTTATTTTGAAATAAGGTTAAACACTCTACAGATTTGGGCAAAGGGGATGTTGTTGTTTTATTAATAATAATTATAACCCGAGTTATTTAATAATTCCATAAATTAGGTGTACATTTAAAACATTATTCCTCATAACCTAAAGTCCAGTTGTCCAAACTCATTTCATCTGAATTCATAGTCTGTTACTATAATGACATTCCTTCAACTAAAAAGACCTGTGTACAATTTGTACAATTATATTGTGTAATTCAAATGTATTTCTTTGACTAGAATTCTCTTTAATATTCAGTTATTCATGTATACAAGTAACTTCAACAGTACAATTATTCATTGTTTATTGTTTATTTGTTAAGCGGTTTTTCAAACTAAACTAAATGCCATACATTTATCAAAAGTAATTAACGTTAATGACTTTAATCTGATATAATTTTAACCTGATATAACATCATTATTATGTAGTGCACATGCCAAAGTCATCTCTAAATATGTGACAATTTAGTAGAAAGTGCATACTTTTCTTATGTACTTTCTGTACATCACTTTGCCATGTTCTTTTAGTGAGACCACAAATATCAACGGTTAAAACATGACTCCTCTTTACATGTACAGTAAACCATATTGCTCATTTCATTTTCTTTTTCTGTTCAGTATGATCATCACTTTCATCTACATACAGTACCATGTGTTTCTGATGTGTTCGAATCGTGACGGTATAGGTTAAATTGAGTGAGTGTCTGAGTACAGACATCTTGCATATTATAACACATTTCAAATACGGACCTCTTCGCTTACATGGCACATGAAGCTGCATGAGGCAACTATTTTGTGCTGATATGTGACATAAGATGATCTTGTCCATTTCTTTTGAGCAAAATGGTTGGTGATAAATCTCACAAAAGAATGTTTCTTTTGAAGCTAAAAGTATGTTATTAAATGTTGTCTTTTGTAGGACAAGAGGTTCATAAATACGTTTGGAAAGATTTTTGACACGTGTTGCTTTTTCAAATGCAAGTGACTCATCAATGACAAGCTGTGCATAAAAAAATAATTGCAGCCTTTGTGATTTCCAAATCGTGATACGCCAAATTGGTTTAAGTGCGATTACATGGAAATTGCGATTAATCGTGCAGCCCTAAGCCTAGTAACGGTTTCCCCTAGGTGGCAAGGTGGCATTGTGTGATATTGCAAACTTCTTTGATAGTTTACCATACAGAGTGAATGTGTGATCACAAGAACTGGACGACACAATCTCCATATCGAGATGTTTCCTCTGGCTGTTGTTGATTGTAAGAACTGAGGTGAATAATATGCTTTCATGCAATCCTAAAAAAGAGAACAATACAAAAGCCCCCCGCCCACACAAATGTTCTCATCTTTAATTTGTACACTTCTCAAAGGTCAGGGCCAGGGTAGATAGCTCGGGGAGTATTCCTGCAATCGCCTACACCTTCTGGGTATCCATAAGGGGTCACACATGCTAACAAATATCACAGAATCTGAATCACCTTTTTTAAACTCATACTAAGTACATCAATTTTACCTTTTATTCAGAGAAGATTTTAGACGTAAATACAAAGCATCCTCTTCATCTCCTCTTGGAGATAAATCTGCGATAATGCGATTCAATCTTTGTCATCTTCCTATTACTTTAGTTTTTTTTTTTTTTGCCATTTAATTATGCAGAGACTAACATGCAAACAGTACAGCTCGTTGGCTAGTGCTCACCTTTTGATTATTGCATTGTAATCTGTGAATTACAAATTGATTTTACACTTTTTAGCGTGTTCTCAATCTCAGACCTCAATATGGTTAGTCCTTTTTCTCAGAAACCAGGTTTAATGGAGAAGTTATAGCCTTTGAAACCGTACACATTACTCCACCCCTACATTTGTCACCTGCTCCCTTGTGTAAAAAAGAGATTGAAGTGTCATACAGGAATTTGATGATAGTGTTGATTATATTTGCGATATTGTAAACGCAAAGCAGATTCGTTGTGGGAGTGATTTCACTTATCTCCTTTCCCAGTTACCTCTGTATTTTTCCATTTAGCTAATGGAGAGCACTTGAAGTGGAAACTCGTGGTTCTAGTGAGAGTCTTTCCTGTGTCTACCTTGTCTTCCTAGAAATACATTTGCCATGACACAGAGAGATATGTTGAGGTTCTTGTCAAGATCATCCCTCAATCCTTATTCATGAGAACATTTAGACTTCAGTTGGTAGAAATGTGGTCCAGATGTATAATCCAAAGCCAACACATCCTCCCTCCTTCAATTTGTTTTAGCTTTATCATTCCCAGTAAAAAAAATAAAGATCATTGTCCTCATATTGTTCGTTAAAAACAAATAACAAGTCTGTTACTTCTCTAGGGTCAGTAATTAGTAAACACAAAACAGAAATGTGAATCATTATGTCACAATAAAAATCCCGAGACATTTAAATCAATCTGAGTAAATGATGCCGGAAATCAACAGCGCTTAGCCAGTAGAGTGCTGACGAGTGGAATTTGATGTCATTGTGGCATAGAGTCATGTAGGCCTTCGAAATGGAAGACGTTTGCGGGCATTTTCTTTTACTAACTTTGATATAATCTGGGAAACTGCTCTCTTTTGGAAATGTAACTTGTTCGTGCTGTAAATAGAGTAACCGATGAAATGAGTCATATAAATTTATATATATTTATATATAAGACCGGAAAACATAATCTACGTCTGAATCAACAGTGAGATGCTCACAAACAGGTTGCATGTCTCTAAAGCGCCTAGCAAAACTTAAACAGCAGAAGCATCAGCAAAAGACTGAGCGCTGTGCATAACACCCACACCCAATGGGAGCACATGTATATTCGTGTGGTGACCTTGTTTGCGTGATTGATTACAGATATCTTATGACTTCCAGTCAACATTGAGGGAAAATACCAAATGGGTGGTCTATATGTACTCTTAAAGGGATAGCTCACCCAAAAATTCTAAATTTCATGTCATTCCGAACCTGTATGTCACACTTTATTCTGCAGAATACAAAATTTGGAGATGACCTGGTCAGTGGGGGGAGTGGGGGTTGTTTGTTTTTTGGTTCTCTGAAGCCATATGATGGGGAATAGTTGAAAGTTGTTATTCACTGAAAATATCCTCCAGCTGTGGAGGATATTTGAATGACCGCCCGGATCATTCAATGAGTTGAATTTGAGAAATGGATTTGTTTTGTTTGTTTTGGACAGTTTAGTTTAAACTGAGTTTGTTCACATGCCAGGCATTGCATCTCTGAATGTGCTGAGATAGGACCAATATTTCAATGACTTTTAGTTCTCACACAATCCTCAAAAAGCTTTATCTCTAGGACTTCAAATATATTGCATTTATAGGCTATGTTACATTTACAGTGATTGTTGCATCCTCTTGAGACTTAATATCTCCATTCATTGTCATTGAATAGAATAGATATTCGTATACCTCGATCGGGTCATGGGGTCTATACGACCCCAATCGACTTTTACTTAATAATAAAAAAAGGTTCCCTTTATCTCAGTGGAATAAGATTTTGTGACTTCATACATTATTTATCCATACACACACACACACACACACACACACACACACAAACTGGGCTTGATACGGTTGTTCTGAAGATATGTAAAAAAAAAAAAATTACACTTCTGGTCTTCGGGGTCAATATGACCCCACATTGAAATGAATGTGAAAGATGTGAAAGAAACTAAATATATTTTCTTCGTGTGTCAAAAAAAAAAAAAAAAAAAAAAATCTGGCATAAATCTGAAAAATTTACATAGAAATGAAGGCATATGAAGGCATAAATGCAATGTATCATAAAAAATAATATTCCAAATGCAAGCTAATTGTGTATTTGAGGAACTGTGTAATATATGGATACAAAAGTACTTTATATCTCCAAAAACACAGCATTAATGAATGGATGAGAACCAAACAAAAAAAAAAATTATATATGATTAAAAATGTATATTTTTTGCTCAATCACTCAATCAATTGTTAGGGTCGCATAGACCCCGAAGCCCAGAAGTGTAAACGGGAAACAAAGACCATTTAAAGGTTAAAAAAATCTCATTTTGAGTTCCATACAAGTTTGTACAAGTAGTTCCCTCCTTCCTCCTGCCCGCCTATGGTCCTGCCTCCTTTTACCAACCAGCGCTCCTTATTTTCGTAGCATTCTTTTTGTTTTGTTTTTTGAGGACACTAAACTTATGCAAGACAATTACATAAATGAATGAAATAACAAACAGTGCTAATAAAATAAAAAAAGCTGTTGGCCAAGATTACAACAAGAAATATTGCACATTCTTGACAAAGTGAAATGTACGCGTTTACTGTCACCAGGCAGGATCACATCCACCCTCATCTCACCCACAGGTGATGTGGAGTTAATAGCGCTCTTGAACGCGTGGGAGATTGGTATCTCATTACAGTCGTCAACTTCATCCGGGACTACAAGAGGCATTTCTAATGTGAAACTGCAGTTATTTCAACATTTTGAGGAGCAGGCATGGGTACAGCGCGCGCAGCTAGAGCGCATATTTTATGGACATCGATAGCTTTGGTCCTCATTATAATCGCATCGTGCTTGACGTATGTCTTCATGTCGAAGGTAAATATAACTGGACTACTGCCTTAGAATTTCATAATTTTTGGCCAATAAGTAGGCTAGACGCGTTGTTTAAGAATCTGTTGGACATTTTGAAGATTAACTCGACGAATGTTTATACTGAATTTACCATTCCAGCAAGCATGTTTAAAAAAATATTTATGAAAAAGGAGAAACAGGTTATCCTATCTAAGGTTCATTTAGCTACAGTACATAATGTCTCGTTGGCTGAGATGCACTTCCTTGTTTTCTCCAGTATTTGATGAGGACAATATTCATGGGTCGAGTTGCTGAGGGCGTGTTTCTAAATAATTGCTAACTATGCAATATAGGCTACTCTTGAAATATGCATGATATAGTGAGTGACATGTCTTACTGTAACTTCGACAGGTGTCTGGATTCCAAAGAATTAGCACCGTGAATGGTAAGTTTATCCTATATTATATTAACAAAGTTTTGTCTTCTTCTTTTGAGGATGGACCACTAGCAAAGTTAGCAAAACTTCAATGAAAATTAAACACTTAAGATTTTAATAATTTTTATGTAAATCTGGGGCCGGGTTGGATAAACTAAGACTAATCTTTCAAGTCATTTTTAAGACTGTTAAATACGAAATGTCACATAGGCTAAGTAAATTCGACTAATTTGATATCGAAAGTTATTGCCCTTTCGCTAACAGTTGGTCATTATATTTCTTCAACTAGATTTTGTCGTTTGAAGCAACACCTATCCTATTTATAGTGTGAAAATATATAAATAGCCTACTATATATAAAACTATATATAAATATAGGCTACTTGACTTAAACCTACTATTAAACGTTTTAAGCCAAGCAGATGTTGGCCAACAAATCTCCTTTGTTTTGACTGAGTTTAAAAAAAAAAAAAACAGCACAGAGCAACCTAATCATTTTGTAGGCTACATGAAAACTTAATTTTCTGAGCAATTTAAACACAATTGATTATGATTTACTGCGTTTTGTTGTCAATAAAATCTCAAGCTGTAGCATTTATTAAAAAAAAAGAAAACCAAACAGCATAAAAGTTCAGAAAGCTCTTACTGTTTGAAGAATCTCCATTCCTATTTATCATAGCTGAACTATGTATGACAGTGTACAATGTGTAACAGACAGCTGTGCTCTTTGTGGTAGTCTGCTGTTTGGGTGGGGATCGGAGCGCTGTGTGTTGGTGGAAATGCATTTTGTGGTCTGCTTCCGCGCATTTTCATGTTCAGCTGTCAATTGACAATTATTGCAACAATTAGTGCAGTTGTTTTCAGTTGTGGTAATCTTACGTTTGTTTTTCTTTCTGACAGCCTCCTCAATTGAGAGTATGTTAAGACAAGTCTCGCGAGAAAAATGGCTTCTAAAAGGTGATTAGTAACATTTCTTTAACATTTCTTTGTAAAAAAATATGAAATGGTTTCACGTTTTCACGTCAAACATCACATTTCCTATTTAAACTTTAGTTAGGCTATATTTTAAAAAAAATTACACACTGTAGCTATAATTATATAAACCTCTCTGATTCCGTAATGAGAACGTTTGCTACATGTTTATCTTTTGTATTGGTTTCCACTTTTTAAGCTCGCAATCACACTGATAATCGTTTGGTTTGGGATGATGAGTGGGAGTACCTCTGGAATCAGAGTGGGAGCATTCTGGACCCGAACAAAACGTGGATGGTCATACAAGAGAAAGGTGTTTACCTGGTCTACATACAGGTGAACTTCGTTCTAAAGCCACAGAAGAATAGCGACTCTACTGTAGAACTCAAACTTCTAGTGGATCTCAATTATGGTGGGAATTCGGATATATTTTCAGCTGCTCATGCCACTCAGGTGGTGAATGTCAACACGTCTCCAGATGCAAAGCTCAACACCTTCCTTCTGATGTACATGGAAGTAACAAACCAGTTTTCAGTGAGAGTATTTCCAAGTGATTTGGTGAACTACGATCCGCTACCCTTCTCCACATTTATCACTATCATAAAATGGGGAGACGACTGGTAGACTGTGGAGCATGGGCAATAAATACTGCATAAATGATTGGTTATATCCACGGACCACGTCTAATTTTTACAATGGCAGCTGTTCTTATATTCTTGTTAACTTTAATTGTGACAATTCGGTATGACGCAGACTCAAGATCAGCTGCTAGAACACCTGAGATTTTCCAGCTTTCGTAGGAAATGCTCGCTGACATTAACGTGGATTGCGTGGGGGGTTATGATACTTTCTTGGTGTTTTTTCTTCTTCCTTTCGAAATATGAACATCACATCTCATGATCTTCTCAGAAGCATGACACATTTTCCTCTCAACCGATATACAAGTTAAGTTTGTTGTGTTTCAGTTTTTTTATGAGTCAAGATGAAAAAGGGCATGATATGCTGAGCACTGACTTTGAAGATTCTCATACTGTAGGCTATATAAAGTACATAACTGCCGGCAACAAACGTTGCTTTACCAAACAGTAGTAAGCTAATTCAGCGCAAGTGGGTATTTTTCAATGAAAGTCTATAAATATAATCATGTAGTATTTAATTAATCGACAGCTGAATGTAAAAACCTCAAAACAGCAACATATGTTTGATTTAAATGCTTAGTGTGTCATACAAAAGCTATGAAGCAACACTTTATTCTGTAAATATGGACTTTGTTTTTTTTTAAGACAAGCAATCACATTTTAATTTTAATAACCAGCAACCTCTTAGTATTTAATGAGCCAAAATGTTTTGATAGATGTTGTGCGGTGCAACAGAAGCACTTATTTGTTCATGAATGTCATGGAAATGTTTTCTGATGAGGGTGGTGGTAATGGGGATATTTCTTCACATAAATCACCACTATACATTAATCCAGTCAAGCAAGTCATATAAAACTGAACAACATGAGCTGAACAACATGAGGCAGTGGAATGTTTTTTTTCTCTCTCTCTTGGCAAGTGAAGTAAACCAAATATTGTTTCAGTCAGGAAAATACCATTTATGATGACGCTTACTTTTTGTCTTCACATTTCTTTGTACTCCTGAGTTTTGTTTTCTTTAGATATGCCCCTGTTTATAGTAACAATGTAAATGTTCACGCTGAGTGATTTCAATTGACTACGTTTTTTTACTGTTCTCAAATATGTAAACAATATTATATTTATAATTTGTAATATTTTTATTTAAACTATTAATTATAAATAAAGCCATATGCTGTAGCTCCTTCTTCGTGCTTCTGTTGTATCATAAGCCATTTACTGTACATTACGCACTTCAACAAACACCAAAACATGTACTCAAAGAAGTTGTTTGTGTTAGATGTTTACATCACAAAAAAAGTCATCTGAGCTTTAAGCTTTTTAGCCTATTCTGACCAGACTACACTTTATTTTTCTTGTTTAGAAAATTATAGAGAGCAGCAGCTTAAAATCACTTTTAACTAATGGTAGTATTTAGTTTTGTTTGTTTAAATCCATGCACTAACATTCTAGGAACCAAAAGCCTTTAGTTAAGTAATTTACAACCCAAAATCTGGGTCCTGAACAAGGAGGTCCCAAAAAACAAAACAAAAAAAAACTTTTTTGAACAAGGAGGTCTATAACACTGAATTAAATAAGAGATGGACTTATTTAGTTGAGGTAGGACTAGATGTAACGGTACGTACTGCCCTCTTGTGGCAAAGACTTTAAAACTGACGCAAAAGAGCTGAGTCAAGTCTGAAGTTAAAAGGGTTTCAGTTGAGTCATGTTGTGAATTTAGGCTTCAACCTGTTGTTGAAGAAATTATGAACGAGTAAATCACTTTTTGTAACTGCTCTGATTAAAAATAAATAAACGTATATTCATTTATTTGGTCACACATACACACGCAACCCTTCAGAGTATAGCCTTATTATGGACGGATGAATGAATGGATATTTATACATTATGGAAAATGCATTTATCCCTTTTACCATACGAAATGAGGATTCAGAAATAAATAAGAACTAAATCACTTTTATCAACATTTTTTTGAAGATTAGGCTACTTCCGGTGTGTTAGGAATAGATGTAAATTCTGAAGAAGGCAGATGGTAAAATTGGAAGTAGGTCTAATGTGAAAGAGTTCTGTTGTAGGCTACGTCCGGGACATCTGTTGGAGAATTCTGCTTGTCCTATGTACATGTGAAAGAAGCATGCATGTGATGTAATGCCAAGCAGAAAAAACTAGGGTCTTAGGGCACATGAGGACAGGGACGAGAGAGTGGAAAAGTACCCAAAAAACACTTGTAGCACAGATGCAGGTGTTGGGAGGCACTGGGAGAGAAACAGATTGTATACAATGTAACAATGTGCCACTGGGAAAAGCGTACTGAAACAAGGAGCCCATTGTGTAAAAAGAAATGATACGCATGCGCAGAGAAGTTTGCCCCAATTAAAAATAAAATGATGATGCAGGTGTTTTTAATCTGGGAGGAGTAATAAGGAGGAGCCAGGAGAGAAGAGATAACAATTTGAGCGCTAATTGGCTACCACAAGGTATAAGAAATGAGTGCAGACCATTGTAAGATCAGATGCCTGGCCGACATCTCACTTTGTTGAACTGCTCAATAAAGTTGCTTTTCTGAGACCCAGGACCTCGACTCTGAGCAATTTCTTCAAGACCGGAACCAGACTTTGATGATTTGAATTGAGACTGAAAATCTGCCACAACACATCTTCAGAGATGTTGTGTGTGTGTGTTAGCTTCTCATGCGGCATGCCATGGTGAATGAGACATTATAGATATAAAAAATAAACTTTATGGATAACAGCCTTAACTGTTTGTACACTTCATTGATGACATTCTTTTTAGGCTTTTCCCCCCATTTAAATGGATGTCTTTTTCAGGATAATCTGGAGTTCATTCAGTAGACCTAGCCTATAATGTAATAATTTAAAGGAATCTTACTATTGAGAATGTTCGAGCTTTCTCAACTGTTAAAAAATAGATATAATATTAAAATAATGATTTGTCTAATTTTAAATAAACACAATAAATAATTGTAAAATAATTGTTCATTATGAAAGCAGTAGACCCTATTTTAAACGGGAAAACAAAAGGGGTAAAATGAGGCCTGGCTGGAATAAGTATGTGGCTGGATATCATGAGGAAGCTAAGCTAGCGTTTAAATCATGGGTGTTGGCTGGTAGACATAGGCAAGTTCCGCTGTTTGAACAAAAGGAAAATGCTAATGCAGCGTATAAACATGCTGTAAGATTTATTAATAAAAATGAGCAGGCTATGAGGGCAGAATCTATGGCCGAGAAGGTAATGGATAACCACACTACTGAATTTTGGAAGGAGGTAAAGTGCCTTAACAAATGTAGTATACCACCCCCTTGCACTGTAGATGGTGTATCAGAGGTTGAGAATATTGCAAAAAAAATTTCCTGTAAATTTTACAGTAAAATACTGGCAGCAGGGTTGCCAGCCAGTTACTGTATTTTTTACAGTATAGTTCTGTAATTTAATTTATTTAATTTATTCTCTGATTACAGTAAATAACTGTATTTTTTACAGTAGTTCCATGAATCTTTGTATTCGCTATATCTGGGAAATATGTAAAATGCCAGCTGAATTTTAAATGTTAATTATTTATCAACTGCATAAGCTTTAAACAATTGTTTTTAAATTCATTAAGTGTTGTATAACACGTAACTTAATTCCCCTATTACTTCACAAAACAAACAAACTATTCAACATTCTATAAAAACAGGTCAACATTTATTTAATTTATTACTTTAAAATATGCAATATGCATGCAAAAAAAGCATAAAACAGTGTATTTTTTATATTTTATTTTTATTTACAAATGGACATGAAATGATTTTTTTTTTAATTACTTAAAACAAATAAGCCATCAGGGCCCTTCACACAAAGAAGAAATACGCAAATGACATTTAAAACGACAAGTTGACCAACATGATCATAATAAAATGGTTCTGAAAAAAAAAACAAAAAAAAAAACAGACATGAATGAATTGTCACCTCTTCGTTCCCAGACAAACATGTCCAAACAACAAGGCCCCAAGTGAGTCCAAAAAACGTATGATCAAAAATGGAGAATAATTCAGCTCCGGATGCTGTTCCATCACAGGATGCAAAGAGTGGCTAGAAATATTGAAAAGGACATTACATTAGATATATTACAAAACATAATGATACAGTCAGAGACAGACAGAGGGATGACAGATACAGTTAGAGTCACATAAAGAATATTAAAAGGTTACAATTAAAGGAAAAATAGATATTTGTGTGTGTGTTTGTGTGTGTACTTACATTTCAGAAATTCCACTGAACACACCACTTTGCAGGGAAGAGTGGCAACATGTGTGTAATTTTCTTCGTTGTTCTTCTCTTACAAAGCACATAAATGGTCAGGAAACAGACAATATGTAATTAGGATTTGTTTGAAGTTTTTCATGCTTGTAATCATGATTTTTAAATCTGTTAGAGCAGTGTTTCTCAACTCCAGTCATGAGGACCTCCCAGGAAGACCTCCCAACCCTAACCCTATGTCCACAAATTAAAACACCTGATTTAACTAATTAAAAGGATAGTTCACTTTGAAATTAATTTTTGATATGTTTTAGCTTACCTCAAGGGCATCTAAGATGTAGGTGTCTTTGTTTCCACAGTATTTTCAATTTTGATATTTTTAAGTCGAACCATTCTTGTCTTCAGTCATATAATGCAGGTCTATGGTCACCACCTCTAAGAGCATGCACAGAGAAGTCCACATTAAACATGATTTAATGACTCGTAAATGTAAGTACACATTGATGGCCTAAGACACGAAACGAGCGGTTTGTGTGAGAAAACGAATGACGTATACGCGCGAGAGATCACTTCCGTTTGTCTTAGGCCATAATGTGTACTTACATTTACCAGTCATTAAATCATGTTTAATTTGGACTTCTCTGTGCATGCTCTTTGAGGTGGTGACCATAGACCTCCATTATATGACTGAAGACAAGAATGGTTCGACCTAAAAATGTCAAAATTGAAAATACTGTGGAAACAAAGACACCTAGATCTTGGATGCCCTTGAGGTGAACTAAAATATCAAAAATTAATTTCAAAGTGAACTATCCCTTTAAGTCAATAGATAAAATATCAAAAGGCAGATATTGAGTACATGTGTAAAATGTACTGAGGTTGTTAAGAATGCAATAATTACCTTTAAATGAACTCCAAGGTGCAGGCTGGCTTCTCCTGATTGAATATGTAATAATATGCAGTGAACAGTAGCAAGGCCAGACAGGAAGCTGGGCTGAATGCTCTCCTCACACACAACTTGGCTTCCAGTGTCCTCTTGTCAAAGTGTCTCCTAAAACAATACCACATGTGACAATAGTTTATTTTTTACTATACCAATTTTTATGTTTCAGCATTTTAAATGTAAACTATATTTTAGTATTCAGAGTGCAGGAACTCTTTCTTTTAAATAAAATTAACAAAGGAAGTATGAAAACAAATAAGCAAATTACACACAGAGTAACTTAGGCTAACGTTATAGCTAAAATAGGATATATAGCTTATATTCGTACTGAAATATATGGGATTTTCACACCGGAATATTAAACATAACGTTACGACACAGCAACATTCATAATCTGTATTTTTTTTTTATTTATTTCGGCGCCCATTTTAACAGATTACTTGATTTTGATTTGATTTACACCATAAAATAATCACGGCGAAGTGTGCTGATCAACACGAAGCTCGTGTGAATACCGACTGTTCTGTTGTCAGAAAAGCATGTAATTCTTCTTAACATAGGAGCCCATAGATCCCGGGGAATGTGTGAAATACTACCCGCGTCTGGGCTGCTGAAGCCCCGCGCAAGTCTCCCTCGCGCCCCGTACGGAGGATGCGTGATCCTCGGTAACCAATATGAACCGCGAATATAACATTACCTTCATAGTCTACGAGTAACACAACATGAAACATAAGAAACTGAAATAAGTCACTTACCAGTTGAGAATCACTCCTCTTGCCGCTATCCGAAAGTCGACGACACGACCGTTGAAGATCACAATGCCTGTGTCGATTTGAAATTTACAGCAATATTCTGTATTTTGAATCAAACCGCCACGCGGCCCCAGAATGCATTGCAGTTTACAGCAAAATGCTGTATTATTAGATAACAGCCAGCGGCTGTAAAATATATTGCTGTAATTTTTACAGCAATTCATTACAGTGGGGAGACAGCACTACATTACCTTGTTTAATTGTGTTAAAAGTGATATT